CCTCCCACAATCCCCCCCGCGAGACTGTTCCATTCGTAACGGCGGCAGGAGCGGGAGAGAAAAGGACGGGCCGAGGGGGCACGCTTGCCGCTGTGACTGGAATTACGCGAGTGGCGAACAGAGGCCGAAGACTACCTACCTCCCTGGCGTCGGCGCCGGCGCCGCAGCTCGCTTCCACCCTCCTCCCCGCCACGGGCCGCGGTCAGCAGATCAGGGACGCCTAGCGCCCCTCCGCGGGCGGGTGGTTGGAGGCCGCGGCGGCTGCGCGTTGAGCAGCTTCCTGCCGTCCGCCCCGAGCCCGCTTCTCTGGAGCGGGAAGAGCGCGGTGGAGCCGGCGCCTGACCGTGTCTGCCGTCAGACCTGGTCCGCGACTCCTGGTGAGGGAATGAACTGGCTCGGGGGTTGTACCCAGGAGGGAAAGGAGCGCGGCTCTGAGCCTCCATGAGGGAGGGAGGGAGGCCAGTAGGGCCGCGACCCTCCTTAGGCGGCTTCGTCTCGGCTCTGTGTCGCGGACCTGGGACTCAAGGAAGAACCAGCGCAGTAGTCTGCCTTTTTTTCCTTTCTTCTCTATTTTCTTTTTTAAACCGTGGTTAGGTTTTCTCGAATTCCACACTTCTGTCGATACGCGATGATGTTTTTGGGCACTTTTACACATTCCTCATGGATGGATGGACCATTCGTGTTCAACCTCGTTTAGGCAGCATATAGTTCTAGTCTAGTCCTACGCTTCTGTCTGTGTCTTTCAGAAAGTTATTTTTCTTAATTCCTTATTAACATAAACGAAAACCTGGGCAGAAAAATTAGTGAACCCCAAATTGGCCTGCACTGTTGCTACGTGAAGTGATAAGATAATGTATGTAAGGGAGAATCAGCTCGTAGTCACAGGGAAAGCGCAGAGTATTCCGTTGTTCACAGTACTGTTGATAAGGTTTGTGGGTGTTCCTGATGGTTTACGACCTAGTCTTCCAAATCACTAATAAAACAATGCAAAAGTAAGCCCATTAGATTTCTGTGGTTACTGATAGTTGTTTCTCAAAACTGCCCGAACGTTTACTTTTTCTTTGTTAAATTTAGGAAAGCTGTGGACTGTTAAGATCCACAGATAATCTCAACGTATATTTAACCTAGTAGTTTTTATTTTCATCCAAAGATAAAGCAGAATTAGAGGAGGGATTTAACCTGGGTTTCCTTTTCCATTACATCTATGGATTTCTAGGTATCTAGGGAACAGTTTGAAATTCACTGTTAGATTGATCCCAAAAGCCTATTCAAGCTCCAAAGTTAAGTGGACATTCCTAAATTCTCGCCTTATAATATTCCAGGGTTTGTTTGCTTGTGTTTTCAAGGTAAAGGAAATCAGCCTTAATTACGTCACTATATATTTGCTTTCCTAATGGGTGCTTAAGTCCCACCTCTTTCATGGAGCCCCTTTAGGTATACATAAATATATATTTAATTTTGTCATATGCAAGTACGTTACTTTACCAACAATGTTTAAATTTGAGGGCAGGGACTATAACGTTGCTTTTTATGTTCTTTTATAGTTTAGTGCAAGGCTAGTCATGGAAATGTTGAAACAAATGTTAGATACTTAAAACATGAGAAGGGAAAGAAAACATTTTCAGAATACAATGCAAGGAGAATGTATTCCTATTTAATCGTTATAATAAACATTTATACTTTGAGATAGATCAACTTATCCCCACTTTAGAGATAAGAAGCCTGAGGCTTAGATATCCAGTATTTTTATCTTTGGACTTTAGCCTGTCTTAAAAATCTAAGTTTTTACACTATACCCCATTGCCTTCGTTTTTGTATCATTAATATAGAATCACATGAGCAACATTGTGGTTACTAAATTACCCCCATTATCAAATCCTCACCACATACGCCATTACAGTCACTGTCCATCAGTGTAGTAAGATGGTATAGAGTCACTACTTGTCTTCTCTGTGCTATACTGCCTTCCCCGTGCCCCCACCCCATGTTATGTGTGCTAATTGTAATGCCCCTTATTCCCCTTCTCCCTCCCTTCCCACCTACCCTCCCCAGTTCCTTTCCCTTTGGCAACTGTCAGTCCATTCTTGGGTTCTGTGAATCTGCTGCTATTTTGTTCATTCAGTTTTTGCTTTGTTCTTATGCTCCACAGATGAGTGAAATCATTTGGTACTTGTCTTTCTCTGCCTGGCTTATTTCACTGAGCATAATACCCTCTAGCTCCATCCATGTTGTTGCAAATCGTAGGATTTGTTTTCTTCTTATGGCTGAATAATATTCCATTGTGTATATGTACCACATCTTTATCCATTTATCTACTGATGGTCACTTAGGTTTCTTCCATTTCTTGGCTACTGTAAATAGTGCTGCAGTAAACTTAGGGGTGCATATGTCTTTTTGAAACTGGAATCCTACATTCCTGGGGTAAATTCCTAGAAGTGGAATTCCTGGGTCAAATGGTATTTCTATTTTTAGTTCTTTGAGGAATCTCCATACTGCTTTCCACAATGATTGAACTAGTTTACATTCCCACCAGCAGTATAGGAGGGTTCCCCTTTCTCCACATCCTTGCCAGCATTTGTTGTTCCTAGTCTTTTTTGATGTTGGCTATCCTAATTGGTGTGAGGTGATATCTCATTGTGGTTTTAATTTGCGTTTCCCTGAAAGCTAGCAATGTGGAGCATCTTTTCATGTGCCTGTTGGCCATCTGAATTTCTTCTTTGGAGAAGGGTCTGTTCATATCCTCTGCCCATTTTTTAATAGGGTTATTTGCTTTTTGGGTGTTGAGGTGTGAGTTCTTTATATGTTTTGGATGTTAACCCCTTGTCAGACATGTCATTTACAAATATATTCTCCCATACTGTAGGATGCCTTTTTGTTCTGCTGATGGTGTCCTTTGCTGTACAGAAGCTTTTTAGCTTGATGTAGTCCCATTTGTTCATTTTTGCTTTTGTTTCCCCTGCCCGAGGAGATGCGTTCGGGAAAAAGTTACTCATGTTTATATTCAAGAGATTTTTGCCCATATTTTCTTCTAAGAGTTTTATGGTTTCATGACTTACATTCAGGTCTTTGATGCATTTTGAGTTTACTTTTGTGTATGGGGTTAGACAAAAATCCAGCTTCATTCTTGCATGTAGCTGTCCAGTTTTGCCAACACCAGCTGTTGAAGAGGCTGTCATTTCCCCATTGTATATCCATGGCTCCTTTATTGTATATTAATTGACCATATATGCTTGGGTTTATATCTGGGCTCTCTAGTCTGTTCCATTGGTCTATGGGTCTCTTCTTGTGTCAGTACCAAATTGTCTTGATTACTGTGGCTTTGTAGTAGAGCTTGAAGTCGGGGAGCGTAATCCCTCCCACTTTATTCTTCCTCAGGATTGCTTCGGCTATCTGGGGTCTTTTGTGGTTCCATATGGATTTTAGAACTATTTGCTCTAGTTCGTTGAAGAATGCTATTGGTATTTTGATAGGGATTGCATTGAATCTGTAGATCCCATTGCCTTTTATTAAGATGTCTAACCAGCAACATAATTACATACACTACAAAGAACACTTTTAGTGGAATGCCACCACATCAGTATGTAAAGAAAGTTCCTTACTTATGATCTCTCTGTTCAACTAGCTTTCAGTAATTGCACTGTTTCATGAATTGCCAACTAAGTATAGACAAGTAAGATAGTATTCTGTTCTTTTGTGTATCCCCATTGCCTACCAGAGACTGAAATATATTAACTGCTCAATAAAATGGCCTTACTGAATGAATGAACCCTGAATTATTTGAACCAAGGATGATATGAAAGACAGTAATAGCTCCCCCAAAGATGTCCATGTCCTAATCCCTGGAACCTGTGAGTATGTTCTGTTACATGGCAAGAGGAAATTAAAGACTCAGGTAGAATTAAGATGGTGAATCACCTAACCTTTAATTCAGAGACTATCCTGTATTATCTTGTGACCTACTGTAATTACAAAAGTTCTGAAAAGATGAAAGAGGGAAACAGAAGAATAGGTATCAGTGTGATGGACTATGACAAAGACTTGGCCAGCAATTGCAGCCTTTGAAAATGAAAGAGTAACCTCTTAAAACTTGGAAAAGTCAAGAAAACAGATTCTCTACTACAGCCTCTAGAAAGAACTCTGCAGACACTGATTTTGTACTTCTAAACCACAGAACTCTAAGATGACAAAATTGTGTTGTTCCATGCCACTAAATTTGTAGTAACTTGTTACAGCACCAATAGGAAACTAATACAGAAAGGGAGCGAAATCATGACCTCCAAAGTACTCTGCCTTGGATTGTGCTTTAATTTAAATGAGGCTGTGATTTAACTGAAACTTTTCTTTAAGCAAACTAATAGTTATTCAACAAAGCTGCCTAGATTTGCAGTATTTCCCTCCTGCTCTGCTTCTCCTGGCATCCATCCTTAGGCTGTAAATAGGCGGCTGGGCTCTGTGACTGCTGTACAGCAGCGTGTTCACTAAGCTGCCCTCGGACTTCCCCACTTGAACAGTAGTAATTAAGTGTTTATTTCATGGTGCTTCCTTGATTGGGGTAGTATCTAAATGCAATATAAATTAACAGGAAAAGCTCTTCAATATAAACTCTTAAAATAAGGTTTCAGATTTTAAAATAATTTTTAAAGGTAAAACTTACTAGAATATTATCAAGGTTGGCTTTACCTTTGACAAGTTATTGGGTAAAAATGTTATACAAGCATAACAAGGGAAGAAATCTGAAATTTTTGTTTGGGTACCAAAATTTTAAACTCATGCTTCAGATGACTGCCTTTTAGCGAAGTAAAAATATACACTCCAGTCTGCCTGGATTCAAAGCCTAGCTCTTCTACTTGAGAGATGTAAACTTAGGTAGAAACCTGGTAGTAGTAATAACTGATTATAAGTCATGTAATCCTTGTAACAATCATATATTTAGATATTACCATTAACTCCATTTTAGAAATGAGGGAACAGACACAAAATTTAAGTAACTAGATCAAGGTCACCCAACTATTAAGGAAGAGAAGGTTTCAAATCCCAGCAATTAGATTCGAGAGTCCATTCTTTTAATGATTCTGCCATATTTGCTGCTCTGTTTCTTTGTCTGTAAATTGGAGATAATATGATCTACATCATAGATTGTTGTAAAGATAAAATGAGTTAATTTACATAAAGTACTTAAACAGAGCCTGACATATGAAAGTGTTCGGTAAATGTTAGCTAATGTTATCATGGTTACTTGAATGTTTTGGAGCCCAGAATTTTTTCCAGTGTGCTTTAGTAGCTGGGGAAAAGGGAACGTGGGAGCAAATGTTTCTTATTCCTGCCTTTACAACCACAGCCCTTTATTTCCCTTACAAGTTAGTGTTATATGTTGCTATTAGCTGAGTAAAAGTTATAGGAGGGCTTTGGGAAGGGGTGTCTGGAAAACACTAGTTCTTGCCCTGGTTTTACAGATAGGAAACTTGAGCTCATAGGAAAAGGACTTCTACAAGCTTAAAATAATGTCACTCTTTTCTATAGAGAATACTGTATGAAAGGTACTCATTGAGAAGCCAAAAGGTTTATCAAATAGCACTGAGCTAGATTTAGATGTCTTATTGGGATGGGGACCTGCTGTTTTTAATTATTTATCTTCAATCTAAGGCTAACACAACTTGATGCAGCAGGGGTTTCTATATAGAGAAATATAATTCATACAGAAAAATTACTTGTTAGCTTTAAAAGGATTCATTAGGCGTTTGTTGATTTAATCTTTTAAATTTATTATTTGCCTGGGTTTTAGCAACATGGTTCAGAGTTCAGAAAGTACGAAAGACACCACCTCTCTCCCTCTTTTCATACTCCAACAGGAACCCATTTCCTCTCCCTGAAGACAACCAGTATTACCAATTTTTATATATCCTTCAAAAACTTTACCTTTTCACAAACAAATTAGATATATTTTTCCCTTTTTACACAAATGATAGCTTGCTATATACATTGTTCTGTGCTTTTTTTTTCCTCACTTAATACATTTCGGAGATTTTTCTTCAGTACTCAGAGAGCTTTTAGTGTTGTTTTGTTCTTAAACAGCTGCATGGTGTACCATTGTATGGATGCGCTGATTATCCACTGTTGACAGATATTTAGTTTCTTTCCCTTCTTTTAATATTAGAAATAGTGCTGTAATTAAATAATCTTATATACATGTGGACTCCTGTGTTTTTATTATGTCACTGTAAAAATGGTTTTGCTTAGGTCTCATAAAAACTTTTTTTGTAACATGGACACCTTACTGAAATTTTTATTCCATCAACAGTACTCTTAATATTGCTTATTATTGTTAACATTAGAAATAAAAATCAAAGAAAATTACCTGCAACATTAGCACCACAGTGGATCAGATTGTATTGTATATATATCTTTTTCCTTAAGTCTTTCTCTTTATGCATCTACAATACTATAAATGTACAGATGGATTCAGATCAATATAGATATACCACTGCTCCATAAAATTCTAGGGTGTTAAGCTTGAGCATGTGTGTACACTTAACATGCCTTTCATGAAGGCTTTAGAGACCTCTATCAGTCTGGAGTCAATTTGTTGAGGAACTTTCTAGGTCTAGCTTGGTAAGGAATATCTAGAGTCTCCTGTAGCCTAGGAAACAATCATAGTCCCTACCATGTCCTTCCTGCTTTGCTTTCTCCATCAAAAGAGTATACACTGCATTATCACTTATTCCCTTATCACTTGGAGACTAAGTGCGCGTTGTTTCTAGCAAAAACACCTCAAGGTACAGTGCTGAGAGCTTGGAGAAGTTTGCACTGTTGAAGTTTGTCATAATCAGTGTGTTTCTGAGAAATGCCTTTACTTCTGTAGCCCTAATCCTGCTCTAGGAATCCAAACTTGAGGAAATAAAATGAAGATTACAAAATGCAATATAACAAATACTGTTTTTTCTAACTGAAATTATGAAAGAACTTAGATTACTCTCAGTGAACCAAATTTTTCCTATAGCACTCAGGATTTAAAATAATATTTCTCAGTCTTAGCACTATTGGCATTTGAAGCTGGATAATTGTTTGTTGTGGGAGCCTCTCCTGTGCATTGCACGATGTTCAGCAGAATCCCTGGCCTCTACTCACTAGATGCCAGCAATACCACTTTTGTTGTGACAACACCCAAGTTGTGACAACCAAAAATGCTTTCAGACATTGCCAGATGTCCCTGAGGGGGCAAAATCGCCTCAGTTGTGAACTACTGATTTAGAAAAAGAATTACTGTTCATCAGAAATCTGTCTAGTTTCATTAGAGAAAAAGTCATAGCAGACTAAAGTATCCTTTTTGTCAGAATTCCTAGAATGGCTAATCAGAATAGTGCCATTATGTATATCATATCTTCAAGTAAGTCATTTGATAGTCTCATTATGGCTTTTTGGGGAAATATGTACTAAATGTTTAATTGTTTGAATAACCATGTTAGTTAAATGGGTTGAAATTCCCATGACATCTCCGTGATGGTCCTCACTCTTAGCTGCACATTGGAATCAACTGGGGAACTTGAAGAAATACCAATCTCAGTCTCTGTCAGAGATGGTGATTTAGTTGGTCTGAGATACAGTCTGGGCATCAAAAGATTTAATTATGCCCAGGGGATCATAGTGCAGCCAAGATTGAGAACCAGTGATCTAGGCTCTGCTGCAGAACTCCTTAGGTAACTGTATCCTATTAAATCATTACTTGAATAAGATCACAGATATGTTTTTCATATTTATAATTTTCAGAATTATAAATATAGGTAATATGTTAGTAATAGAAAAACAAAAAGATCTCCATATGTGGGATCCTGGATTTGTAAGAGAAAGAAGACACTAGTAGAAAAGTTTGGAGAAATCCAAATAAAGTCTGTAGTTTAGGTAATGGTATTGTAACAATGTTAACTTTTAATTTTTATGATTGTACTATCATTATGTAAGATGCTCACTTTAGGGAAAGCTTGGATGAAGGGTGTAAGGAAGCTCTTTGCAATTCTTCCATTAGTCTAATTTTTTGGAAGTAAAACTATTACAAATGGTTACTACTTGCAACTACTTATCTTTGTTCCTTAAGATTTCTTATACAGTCAACCCTTGAACATGCATGGGATCCCATTCTTCTTGCAGTTGAAAACCATATAGACAGTCAACACATATCATATATGTATTATATACTGTATTCTCAGTAAAGTAGCTAGAGAAAATAAAATGTTATTTCAAATTATCACTAATCTCCATAGTATTTCCAATATATTTTTTTAAAACAACACGCCTGTAAATGGACCCACACAGTTCAAACCCGCGGTGTTCAAGGGTCAACTGTATTGTGCATAAGAAAAAAAAGCCAAATTTCATTTGATGCTGAAACTGGTATGAAACTACAACTCTTCCATAATTTTTTATTTAGAATTTTATCAAAACAACTTCATTCTTATTAGTTAACTTTATAACTAAATGATAACTATATTTACAGCCAAGCTTCTCTGTTTTTTAATGATGCAGAAGTTTCCATATGTCAGAAAAATTGTCATTTAGGGCTCCTCCCTAAAGAGGTAAAATCTGTTTCCCACCCTTTGTATCTGGTTTAGTCTATAGTAGGCTGCAATAGAACGTGACAGAAGACTGTGCTGGTTCTGAGCCAGGTTCAAGAAGATTTAAGTGTTTCAGCTCCCTTGGACCTCTGTCAATGCTATGACAAGTCCAGGCCACACCTCTAGAGGATGAGACAGCTTACAGCAGAATTAGTCGTTCCATCTAAGGCCAACCTTGACCAGAGCCATCCTCAGAGGAAGCCCAAAAGACATAGCCACTCCTGACCCAGAATAAAAGAACT